TATTAATATATAATAAGGATTAACATAATTCACTTTTAGAATTACTTTCCCGCCAATTTCATTAATTATTGTCTAAAAATAGTAAATTAACAAAATCTCTATTTATTATCATATCTTTTTTATCCATTTTTGTAGGAATACAATCAAAAATATGGAATCAAAATCTAAATAAATCTAAGAAATATACTTATCATACTTAATACACTTAATTTAAAAAATACACTTACCATACGTATTTTTAAAAAATTTTAAAATACAATATAAAACATTTAATTAATTATTGTCAATTAAAGCTTTTTTTAAGAATCAATCATATTTCTAATAATTGTTAGAAATAATTTATATATATCTATATTAATATTTACGTGAAAGTAACATATATGTTACTTATATGTTAACATATATGTTAATCTTATATAATAAGGATTAACATAAATCAAATTTAAAAACAATTTTCCGCCGCTTTCATTAATTATCTCCTAAAAATAGTAAATCAAATTTTTTCATTTTTTTTATTAATAACATCAAATACTTTCATATTAAACAATAAGGAATCAACATCTGAATAAATCTCTTATTTTTCCAAACAATTTGAAATCCGAATGTAATCCGAATAAATCATGATTTTAGAAATCGTGATTTCCAAACATTTTGAAAATCCGAATTAATCTCCAAGAATAATCATGATTTGTATATATCATGATTTTAGAAATCTGTTCAAAATTTTCTTTGCATGAATCTGAATCATAATTCATTCAGCCTATTATTATATTATTAAATTGTTTGAAGCCGCATGCTAAGATTTGTATATATCAGATTTCTAAAATCATGATTTGTATTTATCATCTTTTCACCAATTAGACTTTTTTCTTCATTATCGATTTGAAAAGGAAAACGAATTTTATATACCTTATCGGTTTTGATAATACAATGTTATAATCATTATCATTATTTATTTTAAAAGATAGTGTTTGTCATTTATTTGATTTCAAAAGATGAATAAATTTTCATAGTTTAGGTCTCTTTTTATTTATGCATTTACACAAATTAATTTAAAAACTCTAATAATGATTGGCAACAAAATTTGTTATATATTGATTCAAACCAACTAATTAATAAAAGAGTCAATCAATCACGAAATTAAAAAATAACACATGATCACTACATTTCAAAAAAGTTTTTTAGATAAACATTCATTTATATTGTCATGACGATAAACAAGAGTGAGTGTCAATCTTAGAAATTTGATGATTTCAACTGCTATATTTCCAATGGTTTTTTTACCGTAGGAATTTCCGTTGGAATTTTTATTTCCACCCCGTTGAAAAATCCAACGAAAATTCCAATGGAAAATTCATTCCAACGGAATATTTTTGTTGGAATTTCTGTTGGAATCCATTGAAAATTTCCAACGGAAATAATAGTATTGAAATATCCTTTGGAATTATCGTTAAAATAATTTCTTTTGGAATAGATTTCCATTGGAATTTTACCATTTTATTGTAGTGTACCCAATAATCAAACTAATAATGTTGTTTTTTTTTCCGGAACGATAGAAATATTATATATCAAAATGCACAACTGTGCAAAAGCAGCCCAAGGCTGAATATTACAACCCAGAACTAGAAACTGAGAGGACGGATCGAAAGACCGCCTAGCGCCTCGCTAGCATCGCTAGAATAGAAACACACAACACACAACTAAAAAAACACTAGCACACCAACTACGGACGCTCCCCACAGGCGAATAGAAACGCCCCCCACAGGGGAATCAGTACTGGGGCCAACGGCCCAAACCTAAAAAACAAGACCAAAAATCACGCACAGACTAAAAAACAAAACCAAAACCACACAAACTAACAAACACAAAAAGGCAAACAAACACAAAAGAACCAAAAAAATGAAAACACAAGCAACTAAACTAAACGAGCCCTTCCAAGTAACACACCTAGCCGAGCCAGCGGAAACAAGGCGACTTAGAATCCCGCAGCCAGAAGAGCCGACCCGAAACTGCCAAACCACACGGTTGCCTAACGGAGTCGAATCCCTAACCATGGAACAAAACAAAGCCACCCCGCACCACGGCCACATGACCCGAATGCCCCGAACGGACACAAGAGTGCCGCGGCCCCAGCCCTAACCCGAGACAGCATGGAAGATGCCCAAAGCCACCGCACCGCCGCATCCCTACTCCGACCGACACCACCGGTAAAAGAATGGACACGTCGACCCCTGCCAAGGCAAGAGAAGATGACCAGAACCATCAGCAACGCCCCAATCGAACAACCAGGAAGGTCGCCGAATTGAGTCACGTTCCACCCCTGGAACCGCACCACGGCTCCACCACCACTCAACGGAGGAGCCATCACCCCGAATTGACAAGCCGTCGCCGTAGAAGACGCAACCCTAACGCCGAAGATGAAGCCCGACTCCATGGATAACGGATGGTAGAGCGGAAATTAGGGGGAAGAAGCCAAACTATCAAGGGCCGGCGACCGCCGGCGCAGCTCGATGGCCACTATGGAAGGCTGACGACGGTGAATCTGAAGAAACGAGGAGGGGAAATTTTTTGGGGACGAGGGTTTACAGAGGCTGGTGGAGTTTTACAATTAGATTTTTAATAACATGTGATTTTTTCACACCAGAACATTTTATGAGCATTTTCCGCTCAAAACATTAATTACCTACTATAGATGGAAATAATATAAAATGATCTAAACAAAAAATAAATCATTAATTGAATAATTTTCATATAACTCGATTTTCGATTTGTGTTTGTTTTAGTAAATTCTTGGTTTTCTTTAATTACGTTGATAGTGGTTTTGTGGGCAAAGATTATGTAAATAATTATATGTAGCCGATTTTGGAACTCTTATTTATCAAGGATTCTTTTTTATTTTAACAGATTTATTAGAATCATTGATTTGGATTAGCATATATGTTACATACACACAAACAAAAAAAAAAACAATTTTATAGTAATAAAAAAATATACATGGTGTCAATTTTAGAATTCTCATTTGTGAGTATTCTTTTTTATTTTATCATATTTATTAGAACCAACAATTACAAAATATAAAATTATATTAATATCTAAATATATTTATATTAATAATTAAATATATTTTTCATTGTAGCAGATTTTGAGAATGAACGATTTTATATGAGATTTATACTATTTTTTTTTTTTTTTGAGATATA